ATTATTTTCATAATAATAATTTTAATGTGTCATATTAAGTCATATTATGGTTTAAAATTAGACACAAGAAATTTTTATTTATATTACAGAATGAATTTCCTCATCTTTCAATCATTACTAACATTAACATTTTAGCTATCAATTTCAAACATTTACTTCCTATGAAATATCAATATTTTCAAACACAGATAAACAGATAAAATTTATTGAGTTTTAAGATAACACAATCATTGATTATATTAACTCTGCAATAATGTTCGTCTCAGTGCGGCAATGTCTATGGCCTTTTTTTTCCCAATAATTATCTTTATTCACATGGACTTACTACAGAAATAATTTTGTTACATGCTGCTGCACTATAAAAGCAGAACAGTTTCTATATGATCCAAATAAAATCACATGGATGTGGTATTGTAAATTCTGAAAAATACATAGAGAATAAAAGGTGTATGGAATAAGTATGCTGAAAAGATAAGTATGTATCTTAATACATACATACTACACTCAAAGTAGAAAGCAAGTATAAAATTGACGCAGTCCAAAAATAGAACATTATAAAAAAATACTACATTGCCAATGGAACCAAATATGAGGAAAATCAGTAATAATAAGGATGAACCATAGGCCTACTTGATAGTGGAATAAAGTGCAAAGACAAAAATGTTGCTTTTCGGTATTATTAATTTAATTTTTATTAGAAACTAGGCAGTATGTTATCAAAATTAAGCCAGTGAGAGAAAAAATACCTCCAAAGTTTATATGGCAGACCTCAAGAAATTTACCTTAATTGATAGTTACTATTATAGAAAATCAATAGCTTTAGATAAAATTATGTGCTACACTGGATCTGGGGGTTTCTGGGATCCAGATAGACTCTCTTGAGCTGATAGGAGAAAAGTAGAACACAGCACAGATAAGAAAGCAGGACTAAGGTCACTGGGCTCAATAGCGGCATTGGAGCCAGTTCTTAGGACACTTCCCCTCCATCGTCACCCTGCACTGAGCCTTCTGAGAGCAAAGCCAGGTTTCACTTCAACACAATCCACAGATATGCATGAAGCATGAAACAGAAAGACTGCATTTACTTACACAGAATCAGGAGAGAGAGAGAGAGAGAGAGAGAGAGAGAGAGAGAGAGAGAGAGAGAGAGATCATAAATGCAGAGGAGTCCATAACAGCCATTTACCTCCTCCTGTACCTATCACTCTTCCTTATTCCCCTGTAGCAAACTCACTCTTATCTGGTGAATTTCAAGGGTACAGATCCTACTAGCATTTTATGATACTATAATATTTTTTCAATTACAGTGATTGCTCAGTTGTCCAACAGCTCCAAGCTTGAACTATCCTCTAATCAAACAGCAAAATTGGAAAAAATCCTCCTCAGTGTTTGTAAGTTTGCTCACAAGTCAAACTGAAAATCTGATTTGTGCAAACCTGTTCTGGCTGAGTGAGTCACGTGTGGTCCTTTGCAGTCCACACAGGGGGACGCTGCAGTCCCACCACCACTCTCCCCAGACAAGTGCTATGTTCCTGCGTTCAAACACTCGTCATTGTGCTGTTGTGCACGTTATTTGTGCAAAATATCACAACCTTGGCTCCAAAGAAAGTCAGTAATACCAGCTGTAAAGCTAAGGGGAAAACTATGAGAACCACGATATAGTTACAGAAAGAAATCATTGAGAAATTTGTTGAAGTGCTGGAAAAATACATCTATAAGTGTAATTTTGGGGCCTCAGAACCAATTATTTGGTTTTCCATTATTTCCAGTAAGAAAAATACATGCAGTTCTTGAACTTTCTGGTGTCCAAACACAAATTTGGAATAAATTGAGTTCGACAACTGAGGTATCACTGGGTGATGTGTGAAAGTCATTTCTTTAACACAAATAAAGCAAAATGTTTGATTGTTTCAATCACTAATTTCATTTCAACTGCATAGAGGTTTATCTACTACCAAGAAGACTAATTTTTGTTTGGTTTTGTTTTGTACCAGGGATCGAACTCAGGTCTTTGTGCTTTCTAGGCAGGAGGCAGAACCACTGAGCTAAATCCCTGGCCCAAGAAAACCAATTTTTGAAAATATTCCAAGCCCATTGTACTTGCTATACCTTCTGAAACTAAAGAGAGCAGCCTCTCCAGCAAGTCTGCTTTCCATGACTCCTCCTCCTTGTAATCTTTAAGAAAAAACAGTGCACACCTTTTTCCATGTCCTTTGAAGAACATATTTTACATCGTTGTTCCTCAAGCTGTAGATCAATGGATTCAACATTGGAATAATCAGAGTATAAAATATAGAAGCCACTTTATCACTGTCAATGGAATGGCTAGACTTGGGCTGCATATACATAAACATCATAGTAGCATAGAGCACTGTGACCACAGTCAGATGGGACCCACAGGTAGAGAAAGCCTTGTACCTTCCCTCAACAGAGTTCATTCTGAGTATGATTATGAAAATCAGCAAGTAGGAAACAAGTATTATCAGAAGAGAAAAAATAAAATCAAATGATGAGAAGATCAGAATTATAATCTCAGTATCATACGTGTTTGAGCAGGCCAAGGACATCAAGGGCAGACTGTCACAGTAGAAATGCCTGATGACCTTGTTGTCACAGAATGGTAAAGTGAAAATCTTTATGGTTAACAGAAGGGACACAAATGTGCAGTAGAGATAGGAAATTGTTACTAGCATCCAACATATCCTTGGTGACATGATGACAGTGTAAAGCAGAGGGTTACAGATGGCCACATAGCGGTCATAGGACATTGCAGACAGAATAAAAAATTCACTACCCACAAGAGCAACTAAGACAGTCAGCTGTGTAGCGCAACCATAATAGGAGATTGTATTTTGATCCACCACAAAATTTACCAACATTTTGGGTCCCACGGCTGTGGAATAGCCAAGATCAGTGAGAGCCAGGTGTCTGAGGAAAAAGTACATGGGAGTTTGCAGCCTGGGGTCCACCTGGGTGAGGATGATCATGCCCAGGTTACCCAGCAGCGAGGTCAGGTAGATGATGAGGAACAGGAGGAACAGTGGAGCCTGCAGCTCAGGGAGATTTGTGATGCCCAGCAGGATGAACTCGGTCACTGCTGTGAGGTTGGGTCCCTCCATCCAGGGTGATAAGCAAAACTATTCAGGAGAGAAATAACAGTGGAGTCAATAGTTTTTCAATATTATCTACAACTTTGTGGATTTCTATTTTGTCAAAATAAGATCAACATAAAGTTTTTTCATTTGTAATATTTTAAAATAAACCCATCCAGAAAATATTTCAGTGTTTCTCGTCAGGAATGATTTTATTCACAGAAGAATATTACTGTCTGTCTAAATATTTCATTTGTCCCAAGAAGTGTCTGCTAAGGTGAGAGCCTTGTTAAGCCAGTAAGCATCGAATTTTACATACTCCTAGTCCAAATTAATATCTGCATCAATAACCGTTTAATATCACTGAAAAAAATCTAGAAATCTAGTAGGTAAACACAGGGACATTTTGATAAATATAGAAAAATATATTTAGATACATATTCACATGAGCAATGAAAAATTGGAAATTTAAATATTTGTGGTAAATAACCCTATATTTATTTTACTGTTTTTGTAGTGTTCTTATTCTCATTTATATAATTAAAATTACAGTGAATTTACACAATTATTCATAATACCAACTTTATCACAAGATATTCTAATGATGAATTTCAACACTGCATTCGATTGCTTGTTACAAAATGTAATCCTATGAAATTATTATACCAAAGGTAGGACAGCTGATAACTTTAAAATATTTGATAAATATGGAACAGATATATGAATAGAAAATTTAGAAAGATCACACTGGGTATGGTTTTAGAAGAAGAAATAGGACAGAGAATAAATGCATGTGTAAATAGTGTTTCTTATAGCTTAGTAGTGCATAGAAAGTTATTTGTGCATGTAAGTTATTTGGAAATTTATTTTGATATAAAATTTAACATGTGCTTGTGAAAATTAGGAGAGATAATGAACTGAGATTTAGTTTTTCAGTGGATATTACTCTTCCGGATCATAGCGCTCATGGATCATTTACATTTATTTTTTTCTCCTTTTAGAGATGGCAGTCACTTGCTGAGAGAGAATATACACAGAGGGCTGTGGAGCGGTCCTAGTTATAAGCCATTGCAGAGAGAGTGAAAAGCTCACTAATGGTGAGTATGATGCAGAAAACTAGCTGCACAACAGCTGCAGAGGATTGTGTTTTAACTAGCTACAAATTTACCGGTGCTTGCTGTCCCGCAGAGGTGGAGTACTCTCGGTCAGGGAAAGCTGGACGTCTGAGAAAAACCCCACGGAGGCTTGCAGCCTGCCGTCCAGCATGGTGAGGATGATGAGGACCAGTTTGGGACCGCTGGGGCTGCATTGAGGGTGAGGAGGGGCCCAAAGGAGAGAACTCACAGGTCAGGTGGGCTGTGGGGCCCAGTAGAACACATTTATCTAGCGCTGTCAGATTTCGTCCATCTTTTCAAGCCTCTAAAAATACTTAGTTCTGGAGGAACAATGAAAAGACGTTGCATTTCAGAAAGTAATACCTGCTAAACTTTCAGCATTCAGGCCATGGTGTGTGAGATAAACCACGTTTTTTACCTGATATAATTTAAAATTACTCCCCTCCATCGCTGAATCTGGCACGGGGCTCCAGAAGCCCTCAGTGAAAAGCAGGTCACATGAGAGTATTGGTGCCGTTGACTGCATCGTGTAAGAGCATAACGGACAGTAGAAGGTTGAGCGTCCAAGGTGGAGCAAATTCACTGAAACTGAGTTGTACTGATACAGAACTCTTCCACAGTGAAGCTTGCTAAGATTTTAAATATGTTGGTACTAAAGTCAGCCTTGTATAAAGTAGAATATTTTAGGAAATAAGAGTTTTGAGCCTCATCATCCCTATGGAAAAAACTGCAAGTTAAATAAAAGATAGCAGAGGCGACATCATCCTGTTCATCGTGATGTGCCTCAGCCTGCCCCAAATGCCGACTTTCAAACTCTACCGTCTGTTGCTATTGAAAATACTGCTGCACAGCACCTTCCATCTCTCTCTCTCTCTCTCCACGCTGGGCCACTTCTCACTTGGTCTGCAGACACAGTAGGCTTTCCTAACATGATGATTCCCAGACTGTGAGCATCTAGCTGCCTTCCTTGGGGCACAGGGTCTAGGAAGATTTCCAGGCAGCTTCAAAGTGCCTGGGATTTAGTACATAAGGAACAACACTGTACTAATAAACAACAGAAATCAATGTGTAGATACCCAAGCTTCCCTGCTCTTCTTTAGAATGATTCATAGACAAGATCAGCACGGCACCTTCATACATCTACAAGGAGTGAATCCCAATAGCTCTATCCCATTTCTGTCTCATATTCTCCATACTTATTTGTGTGTTCTAGAATTGCCTAGGAAATAAAAATCATATATCCAAGTTCTTTTGTCAGGGACTAATCTTAGTAGAACTTACACCATGGCAAATCCAGGCCTGTATGATATTAGTAAAATGAGTCCACAAATTGGTATGTCACAGGTGAAACTGTAGCGATTAAGTAGACAAAACAACAACATTACCTTCCTGAACAATTGGACACCTGAACAGGAAGATAGTTGGATTTGAGGCAGTTATGTCCCCGAAGGAATAATCCAAAACCGAGGAGTGACATAACTGATTAGACAGCATTTAGGGCAGAGAATTCAAATTATGCTTACCTGCTCTCATAGTGATAATTGTTTAGGATCTTGGTATAATGCAATCATAATAATAAATATAAGGAGAATCCCTTTTTACTCAGAAAATAATAATTTTTAAAACATATTGTAGTTATAGAACAAAATATTGATTGAGTGGAACTAATTTGATAATTATATCGACTAGTTCAAACTACCATCTAAGATGAAATGAATTATTTTTCCTGTGTGTGTGACAGACAGCCAGACTGCCTGAGGAAGAATTTATCACTGTCTTTTCTTTTAAAGCTCACTCCTGAGGTTTAAAATGCTATTTCTTGAATAGTCCCAAAGCAGCTGAAAAGAGGCAATCATATCACTGAGTTTTCTTAATTATTCAGGGCATTTTTGATTTCCCAACTGACAAATTCTTTTGTGCACAATTGAGGTGCTTTCCTTTTTTATTACTATTAATTCTCTCACAGGCATCTGATTTAAGAATATTATTTGTTGAAAGCATGATTTATTCACCCATAAATGTAATCATCCAACATTCAGCATTTTGTATAATGAATTTCAAGTTTTTTATCTGTAACAAAGACAAAACTCTTTAAATTTGCCTTATGGTAATTTTAAAAATCCAGAAAGTATACAAATTATAAATATAGGTGCAACTCAAATATTTTACCAGTGGAGGAGTTAACTAATCCCTAATGAGACTGTAATTCCTATTCTGTAATGATCCACAGCCCTCCTTGCCTATCCTTCATTCCATCCTCCTTCCCCACACAGGTCTCTCTTCTACAAAAGCTGACCTGTGTCTTTATAAAGGAGTAAAGGAGTGCATCCTTACAAAGGAAATCAATGTGCATTTCCTTCTCTCCACATATGTTCATGTGTGCCTCTGCTCTGGTTGTTTTCTGTACCACTTTTTTGATAGCTAACATTTTTACTCAACTATATATTTTCAACTATATGTATTTTAGTATATATGTACCAGTACTTTGATGAATTCCAGTGAACAAAACCATTGTAATCTTCATATACTCGCAATTAATATGTCTTTTCTTATACTAATTGGCATATAATTAGTTATCAATCCCTAATCTACACATCTATCACCATAACTAACCTTGTAAGTGTCTCCACCCTAGGCTGTGATTAAACATTTCTCTGAAAGACCTCCTAAAGTGCTTTCCTTATTTGGAAAAAATAACAAATACAGTTTACATAAATATGAGTGGATTCATTTCAAAATTACATAATTCAACGTAAATTCTACCATTAGTACATGAGAATTTCATATTCCTGACAAGCAAGTTATGATGTATAGTGTTGGTGCATGGGAGTTAGGGGTTACAACACATCCTTGTAATTAGATCAGCCTAAACTTCATTAAGCTAAAAGTATTTTACTTGCATTGATATGACACTTTATTACATGACCAGTACCAGTCTGGATTTGATTAGATGTTATGATTTGGCTCTGGGGTGTCCTCAAAGAGCCTTGAGTGTTTGGAAGGTGATGGTAACCTGAAGGTCTGAACTCATCAGTGGACTCAAGTGTTCAGAGCTGAGGTGCTGAAGGAGGTCACCTGGTCTGGAGAATTGGGGCATAGGGGTTGTGACCTGAAGGATGTACCACGTCTCTCTCTCCTGCCCCTTCTTTCTCTCTGTTTCCTGGCAGCCAAAACCTGAGAAAGTTTCCCTCCTAGATGTTTCTACCATGTCCTTCTTGCCTTGGAGCCAGGCTTCTATGGAATGAATCCTCTATGAACTGTAACCCTGAATATACTCCTCCTTCAAATTGTAGGTGCCTGGTACTAAGTCCCAAGGACCAAAAGGAATGAAGACATAGGACAATGCATTAAATGTAATGCATCTCCACAGAAATTCAGAAAATATGACAATGACAAGTAAGGAAATATTTTGTTCAAATATAATTTTAGTATTTGAGAGTCTGAAAGTGATTAGATGGAAAAATGTTGATAATGCTAATTAAGTAGCTGTTGGAATGACATGACAGTTGATATGAATTCTGTAACACAGGTGTGATAATGTATTCTTCTCCTCATAAAAACATAGTTCAGAGACTTTTCATCCTGTCTTCTACCTAAGGGCTTAGCTCACTGTTTTTCTGCTTCAGAGCTTGTATTTTTTTCACCCGTTACAAAAGTATTGATAACACATTGAAAAATTATGATGGTACTACCCTTAATTAAAGTTGATTAAAGTTACTACCTTTAATCAATTATTTTTTGACTGTGTGAACATTAGTAACCTTTATAAATAGAATTATAAAGGTTACTAATGTTCACATTCTATTATATCCTTGAAATATATTTTTTAATCATTGGAAACTTATTTTGAACACTGTAGTTCAAACTGGTTTTCTTGTCAGAATTTCAATTTAGGAAATAGATGTTTTGAAA